ATCATAATTATTGCATAAATGTTAATTAGTACCATGAAATTCTCTCAAAATACAAAAGAAAAAAATATTGAACAAAAATATATTAGATTGATTTTACTGAAGAAAAAAAAAAAGTTACCTTTCACTTTTGACCGCGAAGACCATGAGTGTGACTCCCAAATGAGGAGCGCACAAGGGTTAAAGGAGTTTCTTATGCTCATCAATATATATGATATAACATTTATATAAATGACCACCCGGATTTAGACCTACATTTTATTTTCATAAAGCGTTCACAGGCAAATTTGCTTTATTCCCTGGCGTCGCAATCAGGCACATATAAATGTCAGGAAACATGATTCCTGGCTTCATGTCTACATCCATGGACCACTGGATATTTGGTAAATTGTAAGGAACACTATATCGAGTCCAACAACCTTTAGTTTAAACTGATCACCGTTTGTTTTATTTGCATTTTCACAGTTTCCCTATTAAAGGGGTCATATGATGCTGCTAAAAAGAACATTATTTTGTGTATTTGGTGTAATGAAATGTGTTTATGCGGTTTAAAGTAAAAAAAACACTCATGCAGCAGGCTCTTTCGCCACTCAGTCTGGCTGAGGGGCCGTGTTCCGGAGGGAAAGTGACGTCAATGCATACCCTCTATTGCCACCCACTGCTACTTACACCAATGGCTGAAATAAGCGCAGTTAAAAAAATCTAAATATGTGGGGAAGCTTTGCTATGTGACTATACTGTATTGCAATAGGTAGCACCTTCATTATTAATACTGAAGCACTAGCCAGCACATAATTTATATTCTAAAGGGTGTAATCATTGTATTTGGATATGGTTAGAGCTATGGTTACGGGGAGAAATACAGTAATTGTTTTTTCCATATGAAATTGTTTGCAACTTTCAAAACACCCTAACTACATTATGTATTCAAACACAGTGGTACTTCGTTTACTTGAATGAGGGGACATTTGGAGAACTCTGGCAAAAGTTTCTAAAAGAAAACTCATTTGTTACCAGTGTACTAAATTTATTACCAGACAACAAACATGTTTTTTTTTTTCCAAGACATAATGAGCAACAGACATCTCCTGTATGTTTCAATAGTAACAATAACAGATTTTGTAACAAAATCTGTGATTTCACACAAATATATATGCGTTACATAAACATTTTATGAGGAAGAAATGTATATCAAATTGAACTGCTGGTATGTAACGTCATACAAAATCAGACTTATGTGAAACTCCATGCACTTTAAAAAAAGCTGTAGAGGGACCCAAATGCACAACAAGACAATTTCATATTTCAAGCGCCTTTAAGTTTGGTACCGCATTAGATTACTGGTTTAAGCTCTCATGGCTGTTCTTAAAATACCAAAAATAGCAATCATACATTTCTTCCTAGCAAATGGTCCATCATATATCAGTTGAGCATCTCAGGTGCTCGAATGCGCTGTACTTCATGCAAACTTCCATGAAGACCACTCGTTTAACAAAGCCTGGCACGAGCACATTCTGTTCACCACATATTAAAGGCTGTGTTCCTGAAGCTGCCGCAATGCTGGAGTAGAGTGTTAAAACCATCACTGAATGTCTAGACGGTGCTAAACGGTGGGCTGAAATAACTCCTGGAGATCACGAAGCGATCGTTCCAATGTGAGAGCCAGCTTCTCCGCATTGGTTTCCTCACAGCAGTTGAAGGCAGTTACGGAGAAGTGGACGTGATCCTGCTGTGGATTGTAACAGACTGCATAGCCATCTGGAGCCAGCGGTCCAAAACACATCACACTGTCTGTGTTAGTGGGCACCTGTGAGGAAGATGCAACATGCAAGTGCTTTTAACTTTCTTAATGATCTTCTCAACATTTAGCCCTGCTGTGTAAACCATTTTAAATTGGCATGGAAAGGTTTGGAAAGGCCAAGGGTGGGAAGCAAGTGTGTAGCACATATGCTGAAAAGTGAAGCCAAAACTATACTGTCTGCAGTATTGGTCAAAAACTCTGCCCTCTCAATGTAAACGAATGTGACCTGAGGCCAACTAAAAATAAATAAACAAATTACACTTTGAATAATTTTTTCCCAAAGACGGTTTCTGTCATTTTAGGTAGTTCTTATCACACTGATGTGTGTTCATTTTTCTAATAAGACTTTGATACCGTGGCTCCACTTCCAAGTTTACTATTTTGCAGACTCTGGCTCCAGATAACATCATCTGCGCCAGATGACAGCTGCCATATCTGGGATATTTTGGCTTCATTTATCATTTTTACAGTCTATGGTGGGAAGAGGGTAGGTAGTGCACCATTCGCAACAAGCCACGACACAACAGATCTGCAATGCACTCAATATGGGGATGAATGAAGAGACATGAGCCCTACAACAACTCCCAAGCATCTTCTATTCTGTGATTGTCCTTCAGTTTTGGTTTTCAAACCAGAAGAATTAAATGTTTGCATTGCGTTATATCATTTTTGTGCCAACATTCATGCCAAAATGGTTATGTCCTGAGAATGAGGCTTAAGGCGTAAACTTTTGTTTGAATGCATCTAAAAGTTACCTGTCCTGTCCGGAGTTTCCAGTGAGTGGCAAGTCCATAGGCCGTGTCCATGAAGATTCTGGGCAAGCTCAATCCCTCCTCGATGGCTTGAAGTTTAAGACCCAGCAGGTGGCGGTCTATACCCTGCCCCATCAGTGACTGATCAAAAATGACACTCATTATAGTCAACATAAATTAGGATCTGGGCAGAGAGTCAGAAGGATCCATGTTACTCACCTGCTCTGTGAGGATGCTGTACGCATCAACAGCCTCTCTCAGCAGCTGCACCTTGGCTTCTCTCTAAAACACATGCCAACACACGCATTTAATGATCAGTGTTACTTATAAATGTGACATCTCGCGTGGTACTCACAGAAACGGCATCATCATCATCAAAGGCCCGTATGAAGCTCAGCATCTGATTGGTCGGAGAGCGGATGTAGTCTGTTCTTCCTCCCCGGAACATCCTCAGAGAGGCGATGTCACAGGCGGCGCACACTTCACTGTGAACTCTAGCAGAGAACAGGAGCCAAACGCACACTTGTTCATTTTGATTATCTGCCGTTACTGGATGATGCCAGAGTGTTTTCTACAAGCCTCACCGGTAGTAGGCCAGCTGAATCGCCACCTGGATGAAGGAGTTTGGACTCAGCTTGAGCTGTTTGACGAACTCTTTTCCAAAGCGCTGGAAGTTAAAACATTTGATGTCCAAATCGTTGATGAGACTAAGGGGAGAATTTAGTTTTAAAAATACAAATTAGCATGTTCCACCACTACTACTGTACACACACTGTTGTTCAACCTGAGGACCCCACCATCTCAGCCTGCCTTTCAACATCTCAGACTGGACGAAGAGATAATGTCATTATCTCAAATTGGCAAAGCAAACTCAATACTCAATCCATCCTGGTAAAACTGGGTTCTAGTTGTACAACACCAACCAGCGGTTTGTGTGCGTGATGAAACCGAGACGAAACAATCATCTGTGTTGTAACTCATGTACACTATTTAATATCTGTTTTCATATTACTCTATTTCGTATTACATGATATGAAAATCTATTACTTCATAAATCTATTTCATATTAAATGATATACTACACTGTATACTCATTTCAATCATTTTCTA